GTGTCATCCGTGAAAGCGCAGGGGCCATGCTAATCTTTTTTCTCCGTATCGTTCCAATTTTGACGGATGTCCCGAGTTTCCGTGTAGAGGGGGTCGCCTCGCGCAGTTTCCGTGTAGAGGGGGTCGCCTCGCAGAGGGGAGGGGAGTTTCCGTGTAGAGGGGAGGGTCGCCTAGCGGAGGGGAGTTTCCGTGAAGAGAGGGGGGGGAGTCACGTCGCCTCGCCTTGTCTCGAATTTGGGTTTGTTGAGGGGGTCGAGAGGAAAAGAAGAATGAAGACAAGAGAACTCAACTCAACTCGACTCAGCTCGCGCGCGCCGAGCGCGGTTATTCCGATGCGGTTGGGTACCGAGGGGTGGGGATGTAGTTGAAGTTTTGTTTTAGTTTTTTTATTGTTTTTGGTTTGGTAAGAAGGAAAGAGGATTATTATCATCGCAGTAGAAAATGGGATGACTGGATAAGAGGATGGGTAAGTGGATGGGTAAGTGGATGAGACTGAATCCAGTAAGTCCGCGCGCGCGCTCCAGGGTCGGTGAAGTGCATTAAAAAAAAAAAAAAAAAAAACAGTAACGATTGGTAGAGAAGACATGGACGTTAGAAAGCAAGAAAAGAAAATGATGATTGGAGAGGAGGCAGCGAAGTGGATAAGGATAAGGTTCGAAATCTGAGCCGCTGATTATGTGCCGCGCTTCTGTCGATATATAAAGTAGATAAGGCAATATTGAATATTATTCATAAGGATTAAAAAGGATATAGATTGGCACAGCCCCTCGTTCGTTGTCCTCTTCTCCCGCCCTCTCTGCCTACGGTTTACCGTAGGCAGTTCGGTTGGGGTAAATCTGATTGACGATACATACTTATATATTGTCACGCTGTGAATCAGAGCGCAAAGGCGCAAAAAGACAAAACGAAAAAAAGGCAAGAAGGAAGGAAGGAAGGAAGGAAAGCTCCGCTTGGTCATCACCTCGTACGTACAAGGCCAGCCCGTGGATGATGACAGGTTGAGCGCTGGCTGCACTCGTATCCCCGTGAGTCACAAGGACCCACTTGCAACGCAGCCAAAAGGCAAAGAGGTAAAGAAAAGGAGGAGGAGGAAACCAAACCTCACACAGGCAAGAGAAAGAGGAACTAGATATATATAAATATATATATGGCAGCCAGCGCTCAACCTGTCATCATCCACGTGGCTGGCCTTGTACGTAAAAGAGGTGATGAACAGGTGGGGCTTTCCTTCCTTCCTTCCTTCTTTTCCTTTCCTTGTTTTGCTTTTTTTCGCCTTCGCGCTCTGATTCACAGTGTGGGCGGCCTTGTACGCAAGAGGTTCTGAACAGGGGGAGTTATAAGGATGAAGATAAAAAATATGAATTCATTTTTTCTGTTTTTCGTTCTTTCTTTCTTTTTCTTTCTTTCGCTTTTGCGCTCTGATATTCTTGTGACACCCTCGATATACTGGATCAGTCAGTCAATATGGCCACTACTCTCCACAAGCAGAACGTACAAAAATTATGGCACTGTATCGTTCCATTTTATAGTGAAAGATTCATTCTCATTTTGCACATTCGGTGAGTAGTGGAGCGAGGCCCTATGTTTATTTTATAAATGAACGACTTGATATAAGTGACTGGATAAGTCATTTACAGTATTATTGTGACTGGATAAGTCAATGTTTATTATTGACGACACCACGACTGGATGGCCAGGCCATTCTTTATGCCGACCGAGTGGTTAACGTGACGATGATGGGATATAATAGGACTCGACTCTCCCAAAACACACACATACACACACACACACACACACACACACACACACACACACAAACACACTCACATATAATAGAACTTAACTCTCCCAAAACACAGACACACAGAAACACACACAAACACACACGCACATATAATAGGACTTAACTCTCCCAACACACACACACACACACACACACACACAAAGACTCACTCACCCGGAAGGCTTCATCACTCTTCGCGCCCCCTAGATGCGCTGTTTGCCCCAGCTCTGCGGCGGCCTGGGACGAGATCCCGGCGCATGCAGTCACCGCGGCCGCCATAGCCGTCCGGCGTTCAGACAACAAGTCCACAGTCGGCTTCCGGGTTCCTCTCTGCTGCTGCGTAACCAAACACGCACACACCCACACAGGCACACACGCACACGCACACACTCACAGCGTCGCCGCCGTGCGACAACTCCAATTCCTGCGAGTCGAAGAGGAAATGGAGGAGGAACGTGACGAAAACCTGCTCCCCCTTCCTTCCTCCTTCCCCTGTCCTCTCCTCACCTCCCCACTCCCGTCCTGTCACTCTCCTCTCCTCTCCTCTCCTCTCATGCCCTCTCCCGTCCTGGCCTGGCCTGGCCTGGCCTGGCCTGGCAAATTGCTTTGGTCGAAGAACCACCACGGAACCGACCACGTGCCTGGATAACGCTGCCTACGGAAGCTAAGGGCCTCGCTCCACTAGTCTCAAAATGTGCACAAGAACCCAAGGGCCTAGCTCCCATGAACTGTTGAAATACAGACCTGTGTTCGAATCCAGATGATGGCAGTTGACAATTGAAACCGACTACTAACAAATTGCTTGGGGTTGGTCAGCTCAATGATAATATCTCAAGACCGTCGCCCTTTATAAAAAAAAAAAAAAAAAAAAGTGCACAAGATAATGAATCTCCCGCTAGAGCATGGAAGTATACACCGCCGTGTTTATTGTCTTTTGTGCATGTCCCTCGAGCGTGGCGGATCGAGGCCCTAATGGCACCACGCCGCTTGTCCCTCGAGCTACTAAGACAAACAGCAGATCCACCAGGACGCTGAAGAGCGAGAGAGGCCATAGACAGACGCGTGACGAAGCAGATCGGGACCCACCGCTCCAATCCCATTCCCGTTTTCCATTTCCCATCCCCCATTCACCGTTCCCATTTCCCATTTCCTATTTCCCATTCCCCATTCCCCATTCCCATTTCCCATTTCCCATTCCCATTCCCATCTTCGGCAGCACGCATTACCGGACCCGACACCACAGCCCGACGCCACGGTATGTGTCCGTCGACCGCGAATGCGAAGTGTAGTACACGAGTATCCTACTGGCAAAGAGGATTGGAAGAAGTGTCTGAATCTGGAGGTGTTCCACGCTAAGAGGTGCAGAAAAGTAGATCAATCACAACTTTTCGCACCTGTCCACAACCCTCTTTGCCAGTGGGATCTCGCCCGTAATCCTGTCCTAGGGTCCATAGCTGCACCTGGCACAGGCCCCTGCCGAGGCCGTGGTGCGCCAACTTCTTCTTCCAAGGGTTACATGAATGTATGTGTGTACCATTCAGCCACATTAGCTGGGGTTGTGGTAGTGCCCGAACTTGAAAAATGAACAGCTTCAGCAGCATCAGCAGAACGCGATCTGTTTAGGGTCGGGCGCATGCCACGTTGACAAGGGCTTTTTTTTTTTTTTTTTTTTTTTTTTTTTTTTTTTTT